ATCATGTTTGGTAAGGTGGAGGGTCAGAAATAAAGAGGAAGACCTCCAATGAAATGGATTGGTAAAGTGGCAGTATCAATGGGCTCAAGCGTGGCAAAGATAGTGAGGTTGGCCCAGGATCGGGCAGTGTTACGTTCTGCTGTACGGAAGGTCGCTATTAGTTGGCACCAACTTGATGGCACCTAACAACAAGGATTCTGTAGCCTTGTGTAAGAGGAGGTCCATGGTTGGGGGTGGGAGACATGACATCACTGCCTCACTAAGATTTCCAATCTGCAATCTGGTCACACGCTGCTTGCATTTTGAGTGCCATGGGACAGCCAATAGTTTTGTGGCTCTTTGGGGGAAACAATTCTGTGTCGATTGGTGATTTGGACCGTCTACTGCATCAGGGACACAGCATGCTTTCCAAAACAAGCTGAGCTCTCAGAAAACATGTTGACTGGAGAAGGATGAAAAAGGTCTTAAAATTGATGTTGTCTTAATTCTAGTCTCAAGTTTTATATCTGCTTAGATTACGCTTTCTACTTCCGTAAAGATTTACAGCCTCGGAAACCCTGTTCGGGGTCGCTATGAGTCAGAACCGACTCGATGGCACTTAACAACAACAATAGGATGATGAAGAGTCCTGGGGTGGCGCTGTGGCTTAATGCGCCAGACTGCAAAGCCGTTTGAACTGCAAGGTTGGAGGTTCAAGCTCACCAGCTGCTCCTGGGAAACCCTACACAGGGTCGCTATGGGTTGGAACTGACTTGATGACACTTAATAACATATGAGGATGAGGTTGTGCAGGACTGCAGTGTTTTGTTCTGTTGTGCAAGGGTGGCCATGAGTCGGCTCTGGTATGACGACACCCAACAATACTCTAGCCGAATCTCTGGTTAGGTCAGGCAGAGAAATCCTGGGTAGTTTCATGTCTTGTGCTGTGGGATTGGTGGTGGTGGTAGTTAGGTGTCGTGGAGTTGGTTCTGACTCATAGCAACTCTGTACAGGGTTTCCAAGGCTGTAAATCGTTATGGGAACAGATGATTGCAAAGTCGGTTTGAACCACAAAGTTGGTGGTTCAAGCTCACCAGCCGCTCCTCGCAAACCCTATACAGGCTTGCTATGTGTCAGAACTGACTTGATGGCACTTAACAACAAAAACCAAATGTCACTTTAAAAAAAAAGGTCTACTGTTTGAAGCCGCTTTAAATGTTTTTCTGTTTTTCTCGGTTCTCTCTTGAGTGAATTCCTGATTCTATCTCAATGCCTTTTGTTATTTTAGGGCGATGCTTTCTCTTGGATTTGATGAGGACTTAGGGACCAGGGTCATGAAGTCAGGTTTGGCAGGTGAAATGCCGTCTTCCTCCATCTACAGCTGTTGAAGTTTCTTCCTTCTTCTTAACCACAAAAATGAGGCACTTAGGAGCTTTGTGAGAAAAAAGTATGAGAAAAGAGGAGAAGGGGAAGAGGCTGGAATTGATTTTGTTTTTTATTGGAAGAGGTTTATGGCGAGGAAGCTACAGAAGCCTATGAAACCGAGTCTCTTTCTGGGGTTGCAATCGGCTGAGAGCAGGCTGAAATGAGTTGCAGTAGACAGGATAAACAAGTTTGTAGTTTACCTGCTAAGCCGCCAATGTCAAGGCCAAATAAAACGGATTAAACAGAGATACGTATGAGTTGGGACCGACTCGACAACACTTAACAACAACAAATGTATATGATGCTTTTAAAAAATAAATTACTAGAACCCATAATCCCATAAATAATAAAATCTTCCTCCCCTCCTCTTTCTGGAAGCTTTCCCGGACTCACAGTGCATGAAGATGTAGAGAACATTTGTATTTTTAAGCAGGTATTTGTCAACAGTGCCTGGGAAAATCTACTAATAAGACCTATCAATTCTCATTGTCAGATATTAAAAAATAGTTGTCTAATCTTTTATAATTGACAGTCCTTTCTACAAATGGCTTCATAGTTCATTAACCAGTGAGGAGCAGTCACTGTGATTTTACTGATGAACAGAAGGCTCAGGGATGAGGACTTAAGGTCACAATGCCAGTATCGAGAACCAAGCCCCCAACCCTGGACTTCAGAATCCCAAATCCTGCCCCTTTCTGTGATGCCACTTTGTAATTCAGGATCCCCTCCCCCCACAAGATACTGCACGTCAGACAGCAAGTACACACGCGCACACACACACACACACGTTGAGTTTTTGGTGTTGATCTGAGAAATCCAATGAAACAATCTGGCTAGTCTAAACCTGGAGTCCTGATATGGTACTGAAGGATAAGCCCTGGACTGCAGGGTTAGCAATTCAAACCCACCAGTTGCTCCTTGGAAACCCTGTACAGGGTTGCTCGACGACACTTAACAAAAATCTGGAGGTCTAATTTTTTTCTAATTATAATCTTTTCTTGCCTCAACCCTTGGTCACCCGTTTCCTGAAATGTGATTGTGCCAAGATGTGACTTCCTTATCTGCCTTCTGTCTGTCCATCAGTATTCAAGGCAGACTGTCACATAACACTGACTGACTGAACAAGTAGGTTGCAGGGGACCCACCCCACTGCCGGGTCAATGTTGACTCCCAGTCCTGCCACAGGACAAAGTAAAACCGCCCCACAGGGGTTCTGAAACGCTATCTTTATGACAGCAGACAGCCTCAGCTTTCTTCCACAGAGTGGCTGGTGGGTTTGAACTGCTAATCTTGTGGTTAGCAGCCCAGTGCTTGACCACATCATCCCCAGGACTCCCTCCTCTGAGCCTCAGGTCTAGAGTATTTACAAGTTAATACTTTCTGACTTGTAGCACGCGCTCAAAATCTGCTGCCCTGCCAGGCCCAGAGCCTGGGTCTCCTGAATTTTCCATCAGTGGACAGATCCGTTAAGTCAGTTCCAATTTAGAGCAAGCCTGTTTATGGGTTTCTGAAGAGGAGTGGCTGCTGGATTTAAACCGCCAATTTCACAGTTAGCAGTGCAGGGCTTATCACATGGCGCCGCACCAGGGCTCTGATACTTACCCTCTTTAGCTGCATCTGGGGCAGTCCTCCATCCACAGCTGGCTCGGCCACACTGCCCAGCAACACCGTATACACACACACACCACACTGCCCAGGAACAACAGTGCCACTGAGCGTGCACGCACACATACACACATGGGTCCAACCTTAGGGGCCAAGTTGTAGTCATGTTTCCCTTACACCCAGTCTTGGTGCCAGGCACTCGGTAGAGGTTCTGAAGAACTTTCAGCTGCAATGTCTACCAAACTACCCAACTTTGGCTCAGACACGGGCCCCAGATGCACTATCTGGATTGTTGTAGTTAAGTGCCGTTGAGTTGATTCCGACCCATAGCGACCCCGTATAGGGGTTCCAAGGAGCTTGAACCACCGACCTTGCAGTTCAAACAGAAGACTATCTGGATTATGGATCTTGAAAAGTACCACTTATTCCAACATATGGGATGTGATTCTTACTAGTTCAGGGCATTTCCTGCCAATACTCCTAACCTGGCCAGGAAAACCCTCAGCTGAGTGAGTGTGCTTTGCTCTCCTCTCCTGAGAGCAGGTACAACAGGAATGAAAGTACTCAGGGGTTTTAATTGACAACGCTTCAGAACAACTCTTGTTGAAAAAGCCACCATCTGAGAACCCCTCACTCGCTCCCCGGAAACTCACAGGTAGAAGACACTAGTCAGCAGCCAGAGACCCGGGGATACAGCAGTCATCCTCACACAAGTGACATCTCACACCACTAACGGCTGGCGAGGCCTGCGGTTCTGCACAGAGCCGCTGCTGGTCCATGGCCAGTCTTTGCTCACATCCTTCAATATGACGGTTTCTCACTGCAGTGCTGCTAATGGCATCTGTGCACCCCCAATTCTCTGACCATCACCTTCCTCTGGTTCACACTCTTCTTCAGGGCTCGTGGGGAACACCAGTTTTGTAGCGAGGCCTTCTTTAAACTGCCTCTGGTCCTCACTCTGGAACTACCTGCCCACCCATCCACCTACACTCTCAAGTCTGGACTTTGCCGTAGCAGCATTTAATCCAATTGTATTTATATAATGTAACCACAAGGCCAGCGGTTCAAACCCACTAACTGCTCCTCAGAAACCCTATATAGGATTGCTATGAGTGGGAACCGACTCAACAGCATTTAACAACGTTAGTCTCCCCCCCCATCTCCCTTGACTGAAGGTTCTCTGGCTGTCAGCGGGATTTTAGGGTCCCTCCCTTTCCAGGTTCAGCCTTTATCCCACAGGTCCATTCTCCAAGGAGGAGGTGGCAAGGCACGGGCCCACAGTGGAGGAGTGGCTGGAGATGAAGAGGGGGTGTAAGCAATCATGAGGAACACACAGGACAGTCATTTAATGTGCTTTCCACTCTGCTGCCCCAGCATCCATCCCCACCCCAACCCACGTACTAACAAGCAACTCGGCGTTCACTTCTTTACAGAATCAGACAGGCCTCAACTGACAAAACCCAGGCCCCAATGAATGGTCAGAATTAGAATGTGTTCAAGAAAGCAGCTGCGATTTGACTGGGTTAGATGTCGACGTGGGGCTGGCTGTGTTCCTCCGAACGACCTTTCATTGAGGACGGTGACAATCCTACAACACGTGGGAAACAAGAAACCTGTTTCTCAGGCTCCCAGGACCCCACTATTTCTTCTTGGATGCTCGCTTCCCCTCTCCTTTCTTGGGCTTCCCCTTCCCACGGAGCTTCTTCAGCCGCAACTGTTCGTCCTTAAAGTCCTGATGCTCATCTCTGAACGGAGGAGAAAGCACAATTAGCCAGCTGGAGGAGGACACCGCCCAGCACTGACCCGTCAGGCGGCGGGATTACCAGTCCTTGACAGTCCTAGGCTCACGCTCAGCTTGGTGAGCAGAGAGCAGACGCTGGAAAGAACAGGGGGTCCCCAGGGTGCTGACGGGCCGTGTTCTGAGTTCACCTATTAGTCAGCTCCCCCTCACTGAGAACGCCACAGAGACCAGTGCAATCCCAGGTCACCATGAAACGACACCAACAGTCGCTCCGCAGCTCCTCAGTCAGGGACTAGAAACCCCACTGGCAGCAGAGTCTGTGGATCCGCCAGAGGCTGCCTCAGTGGTAGCTGGGGTGTTGGGGAAAGCCTCAGGTGGAAGGGAACTGACGCCAAGGCCAGCTCTGACAGGCAACTGTGTGTCTGTGTGTGTAGGCGGACAGGTCCTATACAAAATGTCTGCCTCTTGAGATGAACTCACAGTCTGGGTTCATACCAGCTCCGTCACTGCCTACTGTGTGCCTAGAAAACGTTACCTTCCCTCTCTGCACCTGGTCTGTACAATGTGGAGACTGGCCCGTGAATGAAACTTGAAGAGGGCTTTATTGCGCCCAAGTTTTACCTCGACTGTTTGGGAGCGGACTGGTTTTCTAGGGCACAATGTTTCATTCCATGAACACGATGGACAGTAAACAGCTGGATCTGAGATGAGCTATAAGGGCCCCAAATGACAATCTAGTCTCAACAGATGGCCCAAGGAATACTTCTCAACAAGGAGCGCCCGCCCTTCCCACGGCCAACTCAGCCTTCACGGTCAGCCTCCTGTCCCCGACTCTCCCGGGGTTGGATCTGCTTCTGACCCCACATTTGGCTGACTCTCCTTGTGCCCCTCACCAACAAGGCTGCCCTTGGCTGCCCTATGTCCACTGAGCTTGTCTGCACCCAGGGACTTGCTCAGCAGCTCATTCTACACCACAGCATGGACAATACCACAGCATGGACAATACCACAGCATGGACAACGGGGATTGTACCACAGGACTGACTGACGATGTTTACTCCCCCTGTCCCTGCCCCCCAAGCTTCCCCTTCCATAACCCCCCACCAGAAAACAAGCCCCACAAAGGCAGGGGCCCTTGTCTCTGTGGGTGAACACCTGGCTGAATGAATGGATCACGCCTTTGTGGGTCTTCATATCTATTATCTTTAAGGACGACTGTCTTTGTTTCAGCCTGTCTGACATCAGGGTAGCCTAGATTACAGACACTAGTAATGAAAAGCAGGAAAATAGGTTTGTTTTTTGATGGACAATTAAATGTTGGGTCATTTTTCCCATCCTCAAAGAGAATCTTTATTATGCAAACAAACAGAGTGATGGTAACACAGAGAACTGGAAGAGGGGAGTGGGGATGTGCTGGGGGTCACCGACTCCACTCAGGACTGCTCTACTGATGTTTTATTTCAGGTCATAATAAAGTTCATGCTTACTTTCAGAGGCCAGACTAATGGCAAGGGAAGGTAATCCCAGTGTGAGTCTAGATATTTAGACTGCCGTACTTTTTACGTAAATAGAAAACACCTGTTACGTTTGTTTGCTAACTACTCCCTCCCCCTGGGAGGTGTTTTCATACCTGCTGCTACGCCAATTTTTCTTTAACATGTTGCTGTAAAAAAAGCAGCAAAGTGTGCTTACAAAAAATACTTTCTGAGGGGAGAGAGCAGTTGGCAGACAACCGTAGACGGTGCAGGCTCTTTACGTAAAAGCCGCCCGTCTTGAGCTACAACTTCTAGGGACAGTTTCTTAGTTCAGGCTGTTCCTATGGGGGCCATCTTGGCGCCTGTGCAGGGGATATAACTCAAGTCAGGGCTCCCAACTGCATCTTCCCAGGCCACTCTCCGCAGCCGAGGAGCAGCCATAACAGACACGCATTTGTAAAATGTGTGTGAACCCGAACGGCCAGTAACTGGAAGGTAAAGACGATGGGTCGATGTCTTGCTAGAGATTTAATCTCCCTCTTAGGAAACATAGGCAGCGGCAAGTTCCATAGCAACCAGATCTCTAGATCAGTAGAGTTGGAAACAATGGTGCCCAGCTCAGATGTGAGTGCGTGCTGCCCTCCACAGATGGGCTATACCCCAATCTCTCATGTCAGCCTCCCCAACGGGCTGCCACTTGTTCATTCCTGTTATAGCTCGGGCACACACCCATTTCACAGATCTGGGCCCGCTCCGATTTCATCCTATGAGCCAGAACTGAACCGGTTCAGGGTCCTGCTGAAAACAGATCATTGACAGCAACCTGAAACAAACATCTGCTACACTACGACTTTTGCCATATTAGGACAGTCCCAAATTCAGTTTTGTATGACTGAAGTCAAATGTACTCATGTTAGTGTTACTCCTGCTGGCACCCGAAACATGCTAATTTAAAAAGAAAACAAAAGAAACAAGGTACCATAATTACGCAGTGTGAATTTTTATAGTGAACATGCATTTGTTTGGTAATTAAAGGAAAAAATAAAGTGAAAGAGATGCTCCCTCAGGAATTTGTTTTTCTTCTAAGTGCCTGGCCCGGAGCGTGTGACGGGAGCTCAGCGATTTGAGTCTGTCCTTACACTTCTTAGAGGTGGGCCATACATAGACCACTTAGGCCAAACAAGCCCATCAGAAAGGATACAAAGGACAGAAGCCAGAACAAGGTGGGAGGAAGCAAGCGAGCTGATGGCAACATCTCCAGAACACGGGCTCCAGTCACCTAATGAGTCTCAAGACAGCCCTCCTCCCTCAGCAGTGGGGCCAGGCTCCCCACTTCCTTTTCAGACTGCTCTTCCATTGAGAAACAATGAGCCATCATCGCATCATATCAGTGAAGAGGAGTCTCCCAGGAAGCGCGCACTTCCTTCTTTGGTTTACCCACTGTTGGTGTTCTGAAAGGGGCATTTCACCCCCAAACGACCTTGTAAACGACCTGGACACTGCTGGAAGCCCACAAAAGGGCATACAGCACAGAAATTCCGTTTCCGTTTCTGATCTACTAAAAAGTTCCCCTTGGCGTTTCGGTCTCACCTGTAGAGGCCGAGAAAACGCAGCGTCCCCATGAGTGCAAAGTAGGTGTTGTGACTGGGGTACCAGTCATAGGTCTCCTTCCTCCTGGCCAGAGGCGGCTCACTAAACAGTTTCACTACTTTCATGGACTTGGCGTCTGTGGGCCTGGCGACTTCACCGAACAGCCGTGCACTCAGGCGACTCATGCGCAAGGCGTATTCCGAAAGCGGAGACATTTCCTGAGCGGAAAGGAGCAGGAGTCCCTACAGTAAACGAGAAGCAAACAGGTGAAGAAACGCCAAGATCCCCTAAAGATAATGAACACACATGGAGCCAGGTGGGCATCTGCGCATGTTGTTGGTGTTTGCGTTTTATGCACAGACTCCTACCGTCCCAGGTCCTCATCCATTCGGAGCGGACAAGTGAGTGACTGATCATCAGTCTGCCCGTGTGGGAGGCGGGAGGAAGAGCAGCTGCCTCACCGCAGCATTATTTTCCTGTCAGAAAACACCCGCCTCAGAGATCTACACAATAAACATAGTGACTGCTTGCCAGCCAAAGGTTTCATCACGGCAGAGAAGTAATTACGCTGCTGTCTTTATTAGCAGCCTTTTGAACGCTGTTCTCCACAAGGGTTCCAGATGGCTCGGAGAACGGCTAATGAGTTATGAGGTCATTTAGCCTCTAGGCTGCTGGACTGAGTTCAGCCTAGAGATTGGGAGCCACTTGGGAAAAACACAGAGCGAGTAGCCTCATAGAAATAAACCCAACAGGCCCAAAGAGTCCCTTTACCCTTGAACAGAAGACACTTGTAAAGTGTTGTGACTTGTCTTCTCCACCATCTTGCATATTCTGCCTCAATCAGCCCCATTCTATCAGCTGAAAACAGTCACTTTTTCTTCAGAGGCACAGGATGTTGAAATAGGTGTTAAGACTGAAGTCCGTGAGGTTCAGAAATCATAGCTAACGTACATCAGAAACTGTGTAGGCGGCATATAAAAATCAAGAATGTTGGTGGAACAGTGATGCCAGCCCAATCCAGATCAGATGCAGGGGTTGTTGTAGGCAGAAAGTTCCAATTTATGTGACATTTTAGAAAGATGAGAGCTTTTGCTGACTAAGAGATACTCTATCTTCTCTTCAGCTGGGTGAAAAGATGCTGATTTCCAAACAGAAAAAGGCATAAACATATCTTGAAAAACCACATATATTCAAAAAGACCCTTCTAAACAGGATGGTGCTAAGGAAACTTCAAAATAGCTCTTGCAAGAAAGGCAAAAACCAAACGAAAACCAAAACCTGAGGACGTTTTCAGTTCCATTTCTAGATTCATTCAAGAGCAGAGGCGGACCTTAACGCAGGAGCCCTGGTTGCCAATCAAAAGGTGGGCTCTCTGTAGGACACGCTTGGCAGTCTGCGTCCGTAAAGGCTGACAGCCCCAGAAATACCGTGGGGCAGTCCACACTGACCTACAGGGTCAGCGTGAGTCACAAGAGTAGACGGTGGTGGGCTGGGTTTGGTTTTTGGCCTCAAATGAAGGTTTGAATGTCAACCTCAAATCACTCACTTCTCTCTCCCCTACCCAGGCAATGTTGGACCAATGATGCCCCCCGAAGGCTGGAGGTGGGAGAGCTGTGTGATCCCGGCCTCCGCTAGTTCCTCCCACCCAGGACCTGGCTCTTCCCTCCTCCAGTCCTTTCTGTACTCTTCTGAACTCTCACGCCACTGTGTGGAAGAGTGGTGTTGTCACTCGTACCATTCTATTTGCATCAATAAGGAAGTTTTGAACCAGTTCGATCTATAATTTGGAAAGAGTAACAATTCTGTGCCATAAACCTCGAAAGGCCTTGCAAATGTCCAGCAGTCGCCTTTGGAACTTCTTTGCACGCTTTATCTTTTCTTTCACCTTGAAGCTTTTCTGAACATCAGGTTAAAACAAAACTCCCTACTTCTCAGTCAACACCACTACCTTTCTTTACGACAGAATCAGAAGAGACTTCTATTGTGAATGTGCAGTAGTACCACAAGGATCCAGTCAGGGCATTGTCATTTTGTTAGAATGTCTTCAGGAGGCTGTGTTCTGAATTCCAAATCCCCTTGTTTTCAAACCAAGAGGCGGCCTGGCTGAATGCAGAGCAGACTGGACTTGAGCCCGCACTGTCTTCTGTGACCTCTACTGTTTAGGGTGCTCCCCTCTCACTCTCAGTCTGAGGGTCCTTTTCTGAAAACAAGGCTGGCAGGGCTATTGTGGGAGCTTTAAAAAAGTAAAAAGGTGAAATCTGAAAGTTTTCTTATGTTCGACAGACAAGTTTATTCCTTGTCCTCACTCAATCATGCACAGAGACAGGCAATCCACCCAGGTAAAGCTCTTCATCCCTGGAATGCCACCCTCACTGGACAGAGGAACAGCAACTTGGGCACTGCAGGAGGACAGGATTGACTCAGCTCCATGGCCACTTGGGATTGTGGTAGATTTCTATGACCCATAAGTAACCATAGTAATGGTCTTATCAGAAACCACGGGAACATGGCTGTACCACCAAATCCAAGTCCTAGAAAGTTTTCTAATAGGGAAAGGGAATGTAGCTCTTCAAAGCGATATCCCTTACTAACAACAGAGGATCACTAGCAAAATAGAAAGAAACTGAAAAAGGTTGTAATTATCAACAAGACTGTCCCTTCCACATCGGACACACACATCTCTGAGCTTAGCACACAACTACTATTTTTTGTAAACCACAGGCTAAACCTTGATGTCCATAAACAAGGTTCCTGTCATTGTCAGGAGCTGTCGGTTCGATCCTCTGTACAACTGAATGAAACCCTGCCCGTTTCTGCGCCATCCTCACAGCTGTCATGTTTGAGCCCACTGTTGCTGCCGCTGTCAGTCCATCTCACTGGGGGTCTTTCTCTTTTTCCCCTGACTCTACCAAGCAGGCGGACCTTTTCCAAGGACTGGTCCTTTCTGGTAACAAATCCAAAGTCTGTGAGACAAAGTCTCGCCATCCTTGCTTCTACGGGACATTCTATCAAGACAGACCTGCTTGCTCTCTGGCAGTCTCTGTAGCATTTCGACATTCTTTGCCAATACTGTAATTTAAAGGCATCAATTCTTTTTTGTTTGTCCTTACACACTATCTGGCTTTTCCATGTATATGAAGAAAGTGAAAATACCGTGGCTTGGCTCAAGTGCACCTTAGTCCTCAAAGTGACATTGTTGCTCTGTAATACCTTACGGGTCTTTTACAGTAGACTTGCCGAATGGCAGCACTGCTCCTAAGACGGCCAAATTGCCACTTTTTCCTAGTTTTGAACTAAAACAAACAAACAAACATTGAAAGCCTGACTTAGGGCTTTTCAGGACCCAGTTACACATCCTTATAGGCACCTTCATTTTGTCTTAAAAAACAGGAAAAAAGAAAAGAAAAAAGAGAAAATGATGACCCTGCTAATGACATTTTAAAAATACAAATAATCTATACAGACTTTTACTCAAATAAAACCACTCTGAAGGAACACATTAAAAATGAAACTTTTCTTCACGTGGGACAGAAAGAAGATACTAAGGTTCATGATGGAGAATTCAGTGGAATTGAAAAGGCTAAGCAAAACCCCACAAATTACTCGAATGTGCGGAACAAAATCAGGTGAGTGCACCTAACATCATTCCCACAGTTGGACTTTGATCATCCTGATCGAATGATAAAGACAAAAGGTCAAGTTTATGTCCATGTGGAGTCCTGGTACGGCGCTGTAGGGTAAGAACCGGACAGCTAACCACAATGACACGTAAACAACTCAGTGGCACTAATGACATCGTCTGTGGTTAAGTTCTGAAGCGCAGCTCCCAATTTGGATACGCTTTAGCTTCGGAGGCCCTGGAAAACCAGGCGCTGAAATGGGCATGTGTGTGAACCTCCTGCTGGGAAGAGAACGGACTTGTTTCTCAGATACCACTGGTTAGCGGAGGCAGCGGCAGCTTTCGGAGCAAAACATTTGGCTGGAATCTTGCCATGACCTTCAATGGCTGTGTCTTCTTTGTTGCTCTGTGTGCCATCTGTTAACCTTGAACTCAAAGTGACCCCATGTGACACAGTAGGGTTTCCTAGGTGGCTAAGCTTTTGTCGGCTAACTGACAGGTTGACAGCTGGAACCTGCCAGCCCTCTTGGCAGAAAGAGGAAGTCTGCTCAGTAAAGATTTATAGCCTTGGAAGCCCTATGAAGCAGTTCCACTTTGCCCCACAGGGTCTGAGTCAAAATGGGCAACGTATTTGGATTTGGGCTTTAAGGAGAAGGTCACAAGGTCTTTCTCCCAAGGAGCCATTGGCTGGGTTTGAACCTCTATGCTTTGGGTTCATAGCTGAGTGCTTGGCCGCTGTGCCACCAGAAATATACTGCTTCTTTGTAGCAGTCCTTATTCTGCATGGCTTCCATGTGGATTAGTTGAGGGCAGTCAGACTACATCACTGAGACTGTTGCCAAACTCATGGCTTGGTGGCTGTCACTGAGAAACAATCGCCACAGAACGAGTTAGTTCCAACAGCTTGGACCCGCTGAGAGTCAGTGGAGTCAAGACAACACTGAACGTTTGTAGCTCGATTCCCTTCCACCAGGGTCGCCCCTGCGCTCCCTTCAAAGGCTCCATCACTCCAGCCAGGAACGGGAGCACAGTGTCCAGGCAGCGGCTGTGCGACCACTAACGTGTTACACGAGTCATATGCCCAACTATCACCACCAAAATCCCCAAACCCATGCCATCGAGTCCATGCTGACTCACAGTGACCCTAAAGCGAGAGCAGAGCCATCCTGTCGTAGGTCCAGTCCCGGTGGGGGCTATAAGATAAGCACTGGGCTGCCACCTGCAAGGTCAATGGTTCAAACCCACTAGCAGCTCCTTGGAAGCCCATACAAGGTCTCCAAGAGTTGGAACCAAGTTGACGACACTTAACAAGAACATACTAAGCCCAAGGCTGTACTCTTTGTGGAGGAGTACAGGTGTAGCGTTGGATTGTTAACCTCAAGGTCGGCAGTACAAACCCACCAGCCGCTCTTGGGAATCCTATAGAGGGTCTCTGAGTTGGAACTGACGCTCTTAGCAACAACAACAACTTATGGAAACGAACACATCTTTCTTCAGGGAGTGGGTTCAAACGGCCTACCATGTGATGAGCAGCCCAACACTGAACCCAACGCGCCACCAAAGCCCCTAAACCTATTGCCACGCGTGGATGCCGACTCACAACTACCCTATAAAGGG